GACGAGTATAGTAACCTATATATATATATATATATATATATATATATATATATATATATATATATATATATTTATATATGTATATATATATATATATATATATGCGTGTGTGTGTGAGTCTGTGTGTTTGTGTGTAAAAACAGACCTACAGCTATACCAAATAAGCAAATTCTCGTATCATTAAATATTAACAAAGTGTGATTTGAACACACATAGAAATGGAGTATATATATATATATATATATATATATATATATATATATATATATTTTCATTAAATAATATAGAGAGGTTTTGCCTATTTATTTTAAGCAAAATACTTTCATAACGTCATCAATCAACATAGTGATTTTCTTTCATCTTTCAATGATGATGTTATTATGCTTAGCAGACGTTATGAATGGATTCTGCTTAAAAAATACACAAAACATGTCTATATTATTTAATGAAACATGTATTAATGAAAAAATACTGCCTAAATACACACACAATATATATATATATATATATATATATATATATATATATATATATATACACACGAGAATGGAAATACATAGATAGCTAAGAAAGGGTATATAAAGAGAGACAGATTGATAGATAAATAGATAGATTGATTGTGAAAGAAAGAATAACATAAACAAAAAGAATGAAAGGAATCTCACATAATAAAGTATATATTTTGAAAGAAAATTTAGACGAAATGCAGGAAGGAGACTCTTCATTTACGCCTATTAGATTGCGACTGTCTGAAAAGATTATGTATTTTTTTATTTAATGTAATCGCCATCAGCTTTTTTATAAATCGTTGAAGATTAGCACACCTGCAGTTTGAGGTCAGTTTCCCAAATAAGCGAAAAAATATCAGCGTCGACAAGCTGACTCGATAGAGAACTGGAAAAATGTCCGGCTGTTCGAAAAAGAATGTCGTTAACGTGGCGACGGAATAAATAACTCTTTATATCTCTTTTTCTTTTACAAACGTTTTCCTTTCAAGAGTCTTGTATTGTCTTCCACTCTATAACTTCGTCGTACTTATTACAACACCAGCCACCTTTTCTTGCCTTTCGAGTGACGTCTGACCTATTTGTCGTCGTTTAACTTTTGACAAGTAAATTTTGCATAGGAGTTTGGCACTCAATAATTTCTTGTCTTCTGTTGCTCTTAGTAAATTTTGCCATCTCTCTTTGTCAGTGAGTTTTCTTCTATTTACTCAAAACTATATTCTCCTGTCGTCAGTTTAAACTGACACTACATTACGGGAGCATTTTTCTTTAAGTTATAGTAAGAGAGTTGTCGGGACCGGAGAAGAAGTCTCTTATATCCGGGTTTCTCTTATATCCGGGTTTGGTCTAATTTATATCCATTAACACAGGCTCTAATTTGGGACTAGAGAAAATCTCTCTTATATCCGGGTTTCTTTTATATCCAGGTTTCTTATATCCGGGTTACACTGTATTTATATTTTATTTTAGATGAAACCTTGAACATTTCCTGAAATGTTTCACTTATATGCTTCTCTTTCCAAAATTAGTGCGATGTGTAAAATGTCGCCATTTTATATTTATAATTTCGTTCATGCGCGATAGTTTTTTTTTTTTTTTTTAATTTATGTCGACAGCACCGTATAGTAGTGTCAGGTGGGCAATGTCTATGAGAAAAAGAGCACCATGACACAAAAATTTTGAAATGGCAAGCTGTACTTCTTGGCATTCGCACCGGGAGCTTCAATACGACAATTTCAGAGTGTTTGGATGTCAATCTGAAGAGAGGGAAGTGGATTTGGAAACTATTGGAAGAGTCTAAGGGTGATTACGAATGAAGCACAGAAGACTCTCTCTGACCTCCCGAATTTGTTGGTGATGGCCTTAGATTCAGCACGGAGGCCTACATCATGTTGACGGGATATATCATCGAACACTTTCCGAATACGCTGCACTTTCTTCAGATTGATACTCAAACACACTGAAACTGTTCGTATTGGAGCTTCTGGTGCGAATGCCAAGAAGTACAGTATGCCGTTTCTAAATTTCTGGTCGAGTGTATTGCGTCATTGTGCTAATTTTTCTCTGAGACAGTGCTTAACTGACCCCACTATACTATGCAGTCGACAAAATCCCCAAATATAACGTGCCTGCTCAAAATAAAAAAAAATTAATATTGCGACAATTTACCCATCACACCCTATATATATATATATATATATATATATATATATATATATATATATATATATATATATATATATATATATATATATATATATATATATATATATATATATGTATATATATATGTATATATATATATATGCATATATATATATGCATATATATATATATATATATATATATATATATATATATATATATATATATATATATATACCGGTGTAACAGAAAAATTGTCGAAATCGTGTAACAGCATGCGATAATGTCACTCCCACATAATGTTTAATACCCAAATCTACTAAACTAATTGAGTTTCTTTTTCCCACGTTTTCAGATAAGACGTTTAGCTATCTTGGCTGCATTTGTCGTAAGAGTCACTGAAAAAACTTTGAGTTATTCAGCTAGAAAGAGAACAGGTTAAAATCGTTTTGGATCAACCCCACTATGTCTTTCCAACTGAGCAATAGTGGGAGGAAAAGATCTTTCATGCCTTCAGTCATGGCACCAACATTCATAGAGGCCTTCCATCTTCAAAGTTAGTTCATGAACCATCAAGTGAATGGTGAATAAATTATAGAAAAGAGGGGACGGTAGAGTGGAAATCTCGATCAGGAGATCCCAACAACAACTTAGACCTTTGTTATTGTTCAAAGGAGAGTTCAATTGTATTATAAAATAACTCGGATAATTCCAGTAAGATATCTTTAATCACTTCTAAGATACAATGGTTGAAATCTTAATCTAAAAATTGGACAAATTTGGAGTTAAACGATTTGGACAATTTTGTTGTTACACCCAGTATTATATATATATATACACGTCTTTATAACTGATTAAATGAAAAGAGGCGCTCTTTTCTATTTATCTTGACGCTCTTAAAATTTAATTTGCGCGGAAAGACATTAAGCCTGAAGTACATTGGACAACGACTTTCGAAATAGAATGTACATTATTTCTGTCAAGATAAGTATATTTAGTGAAAGAAATATCCTCAATAGATAGGAGCCCGAAAAAGAAAACACTTAATATTAATGAGGAATTATTTAGAGATCTGAAAGTCGAAAATGATGTCCGCAACACACGTTACTGCACAGCTTTTTGTTCTTTTGCCGAATACTATTTAGGTATTGATATAAAAAAATAGTCAATTAGCTTGGAGTGGAAGGAAATCAATTGAACTGAACCATAGAGTTTTAAATAAAACTGTCTGTGGAACCGAGTCTCTAAGAGTCATCGATTAGAATCTCCAAAATTATCACAAAGAATTTAATAGAAAATTGTTAAAAGTCGCATAAATAAAATTAATTCCTTCTTAATACGGATGTCAACAAAAGCAGTAAAAGCAACGGTACAAGAAATCTACAAATTAATTCAAGATGAAAAGGAAGAAAAGAAAGAATAAATAAACTAGACCGTGCAAATTTAAAACCATTAGACTCGTGTTCGATTCTCACCATAGTCAATATTAACAAGAAACTGTCTCGCAATCCCAGCTTTGGAAAGAGCCTGAAAACCATACTAGGGCTTGATCCAACCCTTGCGAGCGTGGGTGAAATTAGGTAGACGGAACTAATTGAGAGCCGTCGACCGTTTAGGCTGGTACAAAGTCACACGTCATCGAGGGTTCGAGTGTACTGGTTTAGACTGATTAGATAATGCGCTCTCTCCTAGAAACTAGAACTAACGTATTCAGAATAGTTGCTGTATAAACCATAGTTGGGATCTATTGGCACTAAACAAGCGTGCCGAAGCAGGTATATGCAAGACGCGAATTGCCCAGCCGCCCTAGTAGGAAGAATAATCGAATACGAGACGACAGCCATTAAACACACACACACACACACACACACACACACACACACACATACACACACACACACACACGTGTATGTGTGTGAACACATCTATAGCTATAGCATATGATCATAGTCTCGTGTCATTATATATTAATGAAGTGTAATCTGAAAACAATTAGATATATAGACAGACAGACAGATATAAACATACTCTCATAAATAAATAGATATATAGATTTCGAGATATATAGTGCCATATCTTGAGCTTCTTCATTCTTATTCTTGATTGATATAAAAATTCAGTGAGCGGCAGATCTGGCGAAACGGAAGCCATATTGTTTGTCCGAGAGGAGGTCGTCAAAAGTAAGATGCTTATCCACATCAGCATTGATTAGAGGCTAGAAAGCCCTTGCCAAAAAGCGGTAAGAGTCTAATAGGGCCATAATTGAGATGTCACAGTGTTCTCCAAAGTTCTTAAAAAAGAAACTGCAGAGGAGACTTGCAAGAAGCTGGAAAGCAAGGTAATGTAATTGTTTTAGCGTTTGGAGAGAAATGGAGCCAGCTCTGGAGTACATTTCTTTCGAGAGTTTCATTGGAATAAGTTCCTGATAACCTGCTATTACTTGACTGTGGGATTTGCTTGCTCATTTTTGGCGGATTGTTGGAAGATGTGAGTATGTAAACTGATTGGTTGTTTTATATATGTATCATTACTTAGGTTGAATGTAACATCTAGGAAACCTATTTCTTTTATTTGTATATATATATATATATATATGTCGAATCCAATATTTTGGTTTCTGTAGAGGCCATATCGTTTTATCTCTCATTATATTTTGTATTAAATGTATTCTTATATAACGACCCATCAAAACTTCCCACTGTAACGTCAAATGTCCATTTTTCTTTAACCTCTTTGTTGCTGAATAATAGCGATTTTCAGCAGGGTTTAATAATTTTAATTTCGTTTTTGTTTATTTTTATTTTTCTGGAGCTAAGAATATGTCCTTATCTAGCATGGGTTCTGTTATGGAAGTTTAGAAATATTTTATATCTAATTGTATAAGTTGGCAATTACGTTTGTTTTTTTTATTGTTTGCTCAATCAGTCTATAGTTGTTTAATTTAATTCCAAGTTCTTTGGCCCTGAGTTAATTCTTTCTAGTATATATTTTATGTATTTTATCTAGTTCACGTTTGGTTGGATTTATGAACCCTCATTTCTCCTAAAAATGAAAGAGTGAATGCACAATTTCTCAAAGCATATAACGGAAAAACATTCTAACCAATTGTAGCGAACTTACCCCAAAACGTCAATGATTTTATGACATGACTAGTCTAGATGAGTGATACAACTAATGACCCAAAGGTTTTTTTTACAATTCATATATATATATATATATATATATATATATATATATGACATAAATAGCCGACAGAGTTGATATACCGTTAAAATAGAGCAATCAGTCAATCAATTTTCAGAGTGTACAAATTTTACTTGAAGAATTTTCAATGAAAGTGACGTGAAGAACTGACAAATTGATCGATATTTGTTAACTTTGCTTCTAAACACTTAAATGTCACGATTTCTTTATGAATGTCTCCTTCAAAATGGTAATGGGTAATAATTTACGTAGGAGTATGTGTAATCGATTGAATGAAAAGACAAACATATATATATATATATATATATATATATATATATATATATATATATATGTGTGTGTGTGTGTGTGTGTGTGTGTATGAATGTATATAAATATACATATATACATATATATATATATATATGATGTATATTACTAGATATTATGTTTTATTTATTAATATATATATATATATATATATATATATATGTTATGATCCGGTTCCTTGTACCACCGCGATAGTCCAAAGTAGAACCAATAAAGAAGAACTCGAACACAGGTATGGAATAACACAGATATATTACAAACAGGAATATATACAGAGAAGTAGAATTGTTAGTATGAACAATCAGGTTTAGTAGAGAGAACAATGTAGTCTCGACTAGTATCACTATTCCAATGTCTTGTAGTAATTGTCTGAACGCGACTCTGTTTCGGACTGCCTCTGACTCGACTCTTGACTCAACTTGAACTACTGACTCCTCTTGAACTACTGACTCCTCTTGAACTCCTCACTCTTGAACTACTGACGATATTCAGTCACCCCTCCACCACGAGAGCGTCATGTGGCACAAGGCCGGTTTAACGCGGGCTCTCCGAGCCCGTGGGCTCGGCCAAAAATATGCCCATTGAACCCGTATAAACGGGTTCAGGGTCGGTTTACCTCACGTGGCCATTTTCCATTAGGCTCGGCCAAAAAAATAACCCATTTGAACCCGTATAAACGGGTTCAGGGCCGATTTTACCTCCCCGAAGGAGACTCCGCCCTTCGGCGTAGCCTCCTTCGGGTTCCTCTCCGTCCGTAGACAGAGAGTTGAACGAACCGTCGCTCAAGACTTGAGCGACGGACTATATTTAGTCCCCCCACGTGGGTGTCATGTGGCACAAGGCCGGTTTAAAGTTGGCTCTCCGAGCCCGTGGGCTCGGTCAAAAATATGCCCATTGAACCCGTATAAACGGGTTCAGGGTCGGTTTTACTGGAACGATTACGATTGAATTGAATAGTGAGTTTGATCCTCACTGGGTGTTCCTTACTTTCGGCGTTGTGCCACATCTAAGTGGCGCTTAGAAAATCACTATATATATATATATATATATATATATATATATATATATATAATTTAATTGATTTAAATATAGCTTCTATTTTTGAAACATGGTTAGAACTGTGTAGCGGAAAAAAACACATTTTAAATCAATTAATTTATAATATTATGCTCTGTAAATTTACATTGAGCACTATTTTGTAAAAATAAAAATATCTATAAGAACACCGGATTATATATCTTACTGTTCTTTTTTTTTTATTTATATACATACATACATACATATATATATATATATATATATATATATATATATATATATATATATAATTATAATATATTAAATTTATATATATATATATATATATATATATATATATATATATATATATATATATAAATTTAATATATTATAATTATTTTTTAAATATGTTTCCATCGCTACACAGAACATCCTATGTTTCAAAATGGAAAACTACAAATCTTGATTAATTTCAAAAATTAAATCTAAAATACAGAGCTTCGTTCCATTATCAAGCGATTTTAAGAATAATTTTCTCAGAAATTGATTAGACAGTATTAATAATTTGTTGGCGGGGTTTAACTTTTTATCATTATTTAGGCGTGGTCAGGTTCTAAGCTAACACTTGTACCGGCATGCATTGTGGCTGTCAATTCGGTTAAATTGACGTGGGGGACTTCGGTGTCTATACTTCCGTTTTTTTTCAGTAGTTAATTAAAATAATGCTAAAGTCTCTCTCTCACTCTCTCTCTCTCTCTCTCTCTCTATATATATATATATATATATATATATATATATCTTATTTATTTAAAAATATGATTCCAAAACGCTACATAAGAAGTCTCATGTTTTAAAACAAGAGCCGAAAACTTCAATATAATTATTTAAATTAAATTGAGTTAAAATAAGCTCTGTTTCATCTTCAAGCGAAATTATTTATGCTCTATCGAGCACTATATTTAAAAAATAATAACTAAAATACTAAGGAACTTTGGATTATTTACCTAACCAGTTCCTTCCTATTTTCTATATATTTTCACATATATATATATATATATATATATATATATATATATATATATATATATATATATATATATATAATTATTTGTTTAAAATATGATTCCAATTTTTAAATAAATTAAATAAATAATTATGTTTATGCTCTACTTTTGTATCGAGCACTATTTTTAAAAATAATAACTAAAATACTAAGGAACTTTGTATTATTTACCTAACCAGTTCTTTACTATTTTCTATATATTTTCACACACACACACACACACACACACACACACACACACATATATATATATATATATATATATATATATATATATATATATATATATATATATTTTTAAGCATTACGCCCCGAGCAAGGCGTGAAGCCACTAGGATGCAGGGGGTTGTGGAAGATTTGGAGCGAGAGCAGATAGGAGTGATAGAAGAAAGGATGAGGAGAAGGATAGTGGGTAGATATATATATATATCACTTTTTCAACTAATGGAACACAACTCTCTAACTTTTAATAGCTCATTTGAAATGAAAAAGTAGTGGTCTAAAAATTACAGTATTTCAAAATAAAATTGTCCGTGTTTTCGAATTTATTCCTGGAGGTCGTATCCAAACATATCATACCATTTTGGAATCAAACCGTCTCTGTGAGCAAATTAAAAGCTGGATCCGGACCTGCAAGCCTGAATTATTATATAGAAGAATATGCATGAGATGTTTCTATTCTTTTTTGAACTGGACTAAAGTAGTAGCATAAAATGTGGGTCAGAGAACTGTTAAACAGACGACCACGCATAAAGCCATTCATATCGGCGATGATGCCGACAAATTTAATGAGCAAAGAAAGAAAGGGCGAAGAATATATTTTAGTATGAAAAGTCGCTACCTCTGTCATGGCGAGACATTTTATAATGAAAAGAAAGATTGAACGTGTTATCGTTAGTTTTGTAAACGAAATTTCCCTCTCCTTTTTTTTTTATAAATTATTTTTTTGCTATAAATACTAATTTAAACAAGCAAATATATAGAGAGATTCATTAAATTGTTTTATTTTAGAAAAGCATACTTAAAGCAACATATTGCCCTTATCAGTTGTCACGATGAATATTTCTTGTGTTGTACAAAAAGCAGACGGTAATAAAAAAAGAAAATGCAGTTAGTCAGAGATTTTAAACACTGACAACTTATTTTAACAGTTATATTTACCTAAATGGCACAAAAATCTTTTGAAATACTAAACAGTAAATTTATTCAATAAAATCGACATTCGCTTCAACCACGGGCACGGGACGACTTTGGAATCTCCTGCATCTTTTCAGGACGATCTCCTTGTTTAAATTGGTGCATACTGCCATAATCCTCCACTAATCTTTGTTGTTACAAGGAATTTTTCTGGTCTCTCGCTCAGCTGCGCCCCGCACATAATACTCAAGGGGTTTACAGTCTGGGGAGTTAGGTGGCCAGATGAAAGAGACGTTGCGTTCGTAGAAATTGTCTGACAGGCATGACAGGTTTATCTTAATTGTATTGCCTCTTGCAGAGTCTTGCTGTCCGACATAGGGTCTTTCAGCAGCCACCCCCTTGACCCATGGCAGCACTACCATCCCAAGGCACTTAACGTTGGCCTACGTGTTTAGTCTGAGACCCTCACAACCAGATTCGAGAGTTCTTTTCTTATCACAACTATTAGAGTGAGTTTTTCGAGCTGCTGTACCTTCGTGATCACCATTAGACTCATTCAACACTTTCCAAATCCCCCGCACTGTCTACAATTTTACAATTGTTACAATTTACCCATCGTATATATTTTGATTGCAATTCCATGTGTGTGTTTGTTTTCGTAAGTGTTCGTTCTCTTAGAAGCCTATAGAAAGGGAAAAGGCTGAAGATTGACACCCAAACACTCTGAAATGCTCGTACTGGAGCTTCCGGTGCGAATGCCAAGCAGCTCAGCCTACCTTTTTTTAAAATTTCTGGCGGAGTGAATTGCGTAGTGGTGCTCTTTTTCTCACAAACGGTGCCCATCTGACCCTACAATAATGTGCAGTCGGCAAAATCAAAATCAAACAAGGCGCATGCGCCACATACTAATATAATATGGCGAAAATTTACCCATCGCACCCTGTATATATTTTGATTGCGATTCCATGTGTGTGTGTTTTTATACGTGTTTGTTCTCTTAGAAGCTTATAGCAATGGAAAATGTAGAAGATTTTATAGTACGTAAGAGAGAGAGAGAGAGAGAGAGAGAGAGAGAGAGAGAGAGAGACAGCAAAAAGGTGAGCTCTTCAATTATCATCGTTTTTTTTAATGGGATTCACATGGAGTTGATCATGCTTTTTAATGGGATTCACATGGAGTTGATCATGCTTTTCTTTTTTAACTAAAAGTTTCCAAAATCGTTTTTTTTAATGGGATTCACATGGAGTTGATCATGCTTTTTAATGGGATTCACATAGAGTTGATCATGCTTTTCTTTTTTTTTAATTAAAAGTTTCCAAAATCGTTTTTTTTAATGGGATTCACATGGAGTTGATCATGCTTTTTAATGGAATTCACATGGAGTTGATCATGCTTTTCTTTTTTTTAATTAAAAGTTTCCAAAATCGTTTTTTTAATGGGATTCACATGGAGTTGATCATGCTTTTCTTTTTTTTAATTAAAAGTTTCCAAAATTGTTTTTTTAATGGGATTCACATGGAGTTGATCATGCTTTTTAATGGGATTCACATAGAGTTGATCATGCTTTTCTTTTTTTAATTAAAAGTTTCCAAAATTGTTTTTTTAATGGGATTCATATGGAGTTGATCATGCTTTTTAATGGGATTCACATAGAGTTGATCATGCTTTTCTTTTTTTTAATTAAAAGTTTCCAAAATGAAAGAATACAATAGCGTTTAATTATTTTGTTTATATTATTATATTGGAAACCAATTAATAAAAATTAAAACTATATAAATATATAACGTACTGGAGTAATAATATTACCTTTTATTTTTATTTATTTTAAAAATATGAAAGTGTCTTAAAGACTGGTTCTCCGGTTTTGTCTAAAGTCTTTTTCATAATTCCAGCGTCTCCCACTAAACTCTAAAATATAATTTACCATTTTTTAAATTGTTTTACCCTAACCAAGGCAATAATGCCACTATAACGCAAGGGATTACTGTGAGCAAAAGAGAATGAGAAGGTTTACGAGAAGGAACTGGAAATCTAATCATAAACAAGAAAATAGAGATAAACATCTATTCCTGTCCATGGGAAAGCATTGTGAACCAGGCGATAGGCGAACCTATCTACTTCTTTTCATTTATTTGTTATTTATTTGTTCCTCAATAGGTGTAGATAGATCCCCCTATTGTACAGTTCATACTCCTTCCCGGTCTTTTTGCACAAGAGTATAGGTTTATATTGTTTCTTATTTAGGATTGGGTTTCCGATTCTTTCTAAAGTTTTCCTTTATTTCACTGCGAGTAAAAAGTTGCATCTTAGTGGCAATATCGCCTTCTTTGGTGTGGATTGATTAAAAACGAAAAACAAAGTAAACAAGAACAGAAATGACTGGAGAGAGGCATTTTCCTGTCAGAATGCTCTCGTAGAAGCAAGAACAAACTTACTGCTTATCCATTTTCTTATAACGCGTTAAAAATACTGCAGCGACTCCGTGACTGTCATGAGAATTCATATTTCATTCTTGATAAATAATCTTTTTTTCTTTTTCTTTTTGTTTTCATCTCGCGATACCGTAAAATATTTTGTGGAACAAACTAATATATGATTATTTATTTTCCGGGATTTTCTTTAATTTATCTTTTGTTGCTTATCTTAGCTTCTTCTTTTTTTTTTCTTTTTTTTTTTACTTACCTATCAGGTTAACGCTGAAAGCTGCAAAAAATATTCTGTAGTAATTTATTGAGTTATAAATCTCTTTACGAAATGACTTCTGTTAAAAAAAATGTAATTCTTAACGTGACAAAAATAATTGTTGAAATCTGAGTGGAATTCTTTGAATTTTTACATACTTTCGACCGAGGCAAAATAAATGTTGTCTTTTACATCAGAAAATTACTGTATATTCTCTTCAGTGAACTTTTCCCAACACGATCTTTAACCATCATACACAGTAAAATAAAATAATTTTTGTTAAATTTATAGTCATTCTGTATAGGTCATTCGTGTTATGTTATACAATCTGCGTACATCGATTCACATAGGTTTCTGCATATGTATTGACCGGTATATGTAGAGCTGGCTACTCGTATTCTACGATACCTATCTACTAGCGCGGCTAACCAATCCCTATTGCACACGTTTTCTCAGGCGCATTTGTGTTTTTTACTGCAACTATGCTGAGTAGATCTTAATTACAGTTTCTGGTAAAGAGCGTGTTATCTAGCGTGGTCAACATTTTGAACAAGGCCATCACGCTCAAGCCGTCGGCCACGATGAATTGTGACTACGTTCTAGCACAGCTATTGAAGCCCCCAAGAGTTCCGTCTACACAATTTCACTCAGAACGATTGGGTCAACCGGTGGTATGGTTTTCAGGCACTTTCCAAAGTTGCTGCACGCTAGGATCGACCCCTCCAGTTGCGATAACATCAGCAGTCTCCTTCCTGACAAATCGACCATGGTGAAATTCAAACCCGGGTCTCATGGTCAAAAAGGACATATTCATAAAACATAATTAAGAAGACCGAAACGTCCGACGTTGACATTATATTAACATTAAAACAGCATAATTGCATATTAGGATTTTTGTTTGTTTTTTTCCGTATATTTTTCTTCATACTGTCGGATCTATATCCATATATTTGCTCTCACACACACACACACACACACACACACACACACACACACACACACACATATATATATATATATATATATATACGGATTTTATTAAAAATTAGCAAACATAATGTCTGTAATTTATTCAGACATACATAAAAGAGAATATGTTACCTAAATACGCAAATTTTAATTTTTATATATGTGAAACATGTTAGATTGATATAGGTTTCATATTTGTTTTGAAATTTATCATCCTGTCGTATTCCGATCCATATTTGATCATTAAGTCATATATATATATATATATATATATATATATATATTACTGAGAGAAAAAACAAGAACAAAATCTATTCCATACCTAAGGATATCTGTATGAACAGACGAAAGCTTGTAAAAATAATAAGAACTCATGCAACAGGAATTTACAGAAACAAGGATCTTTTCATTCATAAACAGGTTCGGGGTTTTTGTATATTATTTGAATTGTTCGCGATGATGGATTTCTCGCCAATTAAATCATTAACCTTTGTATTTGTTTTTTGTATGAATAATTCATGAATTTGTAAATTAATTGCACCTTTATTGAAATTAAAGTAACTGATCCAAATGCAACTTTTGGATAAGTGCGACATTACTGTAATTATTGAACAATAAATTTCATGCCACTTTCACAGAAAATTTACCAGTAAAAAAGAATTCACTTATCACCATATTTGTATAAGAACGCACAATTATAAAATTTAAATTCAAACTCAGCGTTGCGACAGCACGCTCCAAAAACAATAACTCATTTCTAATAGCATTTTTCGGATTACAACAGTACATATATTTTCGTTGTCCTCTTATTACTGAGAGTAAAAACAAGAACAAAATCTATTCCATACCTGAGGATGTCTGTATGAACAGACGAAATCTTGTAAAAATAATAAGAACTCATGCAACAGGAATTTATAAAAACAAGGATCTTTTCATTCATAAACTGGTTCGGGGTTTTTGTATATTATTTGAATTGTTCGCGACGATGGATTTCTCGCCAATTAAATTATTAAACTTTATATTTGTTTTTTTGTATGAATAATTCATGAATATATATATATATATATATATATATATATATATATATATATATATATATATATATATATAGGGAATTAAAACAAAAACATGTTAAAAATCGCTACACAATACCAGTCATATTTGAACACTACAAATGTGTCTCCTTTGGCGATGTTAAATTACTTGTGATTGAAAGATTAATTTAATTTCAAAAGCAGAATACTAACATTTTTTTCGAAAGAAAAAGAGAAGACGAAAGAAAAAAAAACAATTTAAATGAGGCTTATGTGTTTACTGTGATTACCAATCAAATGTCAGGCCTATGCTAAAATACAAACTAACTGAATATATATATATATTAAGAAATGGACAAAGTCCGACAATTTATTTATTAAAGACATTTTTATGTTTAACGTTGTTTTTTTTTTTTTATGGATACAAGTATTTAAGTAAATGCTCTGTTTATGATAAACAGTATTAAATAACATTTACCGGCCTGAATGTCCGGGAAATTTTCATAGAAAATATTCGTCCTTTGACAGGATTCGAACCTGCATCCTATACGGAACCGTCATTTACGCTGACGTGCCTTATCCGATCGGCCACAAAGGGGCGTTCGGCAGACAAGGTCGAATTTACTGCTTATAAACTTCAATCTTCCATGAATCTCGTACATTCATAACTGCTCTGACGTATCAAATGTAAACAAATGACGCCATATATTAAGAAATGGACAAAGATAAAAAAAAACAAAAAAAAAACAACGTTAAACATAAAAATGTCTTTAATAAATAAATTGTCGGACTTTGTCCATTTCTTAATATATGACGTCATGTGTTTACATTTGATACGCCAGAGCAGTTATGAATGTACGAGATTCATGGAAAATTGAGTTTATAAGCAGTAAATTCGACCTTGTCTACCGAACGCTTCTTTGTAGCCTAAGGGTAAGGCACGTCAGCGTATATGACGGTTCCGTATAGGATGCAGGTTCGAATCCTGTCAAAGAACGAATATTTTCTATGAAAATTTCTCGACATTCAGGCCGGTAAATGTTATTTAATACTGTTTATCATAAACAGAGCATTTGCTTAAATACTTGTATCTATAAAATAACAACGTTAAACATAAAATATGTCTTTAATAAATAAATTGTCGGACCTTGTCCATTTCTTAATATATGACGTCATTTGTTTACATCCGATAGATATAGACATGAAAGCTAATCGCCCAGATATATTCATCAAAATCCTGGGCATCTCGCTAGAACAATTACAACTGAGTAGTGAGTTCGATCCTCACTGGGTGCTCCATACTTCCGGCCTTGTGCCAATTCTAAGCTACGCTTGGTAAATCACTATTCATCAAAGACCACGATAAGAGAATGTGTTTTCTTATTGTCTTGGCACTTCCTGCCGATTCTAATATATTTTTGAAGATCGTCAA